AAAACAATATATCTTGTTTCAATGTGTTTCAATTTTTTTTAACGTTTCATCAGGTGGGAAATCACAATGCTACTAAAATATTTTATTCCGAAATGCAGTTAACGAAGCACGTCTTCCACTTCCGTCACTGGAAAGTTTCCCATAAAAGCTAAATTTCCCATTAGTAGCATCGTGATTTCCCACCTGATGAAACGTTAAAAAAGATTTCAACGTTGAAACAAGTGCTACCCGAGGTTTTTTTTACCAACCGAGTAATACTAGTAGTTTAATAATGACACACACACACACACACACACACACACACACACACACACACACACACACATACATATATATATATATATAGTGTATTGGGGCAGCTGATCATCATTCAAACATATATCTATTATGGCTTTAGTTTTTGAATTTTGATCCCAAGGTTGTTTTATGTAGGACACACACACACACACACACGCACACACACACACACACGTGCGCGCGCACACACACGTGCGCGCACGCACACACACACAACACACACACGCACACACACACACACACACAACACAACACACACTCTCTCTCATTTTCTCTCTTTGTGTATCAGTATATCTATCAGTATATCCATAAACCTCTCTTTGTCTATCAGTATATCTATCAGTATATCCATAAACCTCTCTTTGTCTATCAGTATATCTATCAGTATATCCATAAACCTCTTTTTGTCAATCTACTTCTGTCATTTGTTCTTTCCTTTTCTTTATATCATTTTCTCTGTTGCTTCTTTTCTATCTTTCTCACTATATATATTTTTTCTTTTCCGTTCTCTCCCCGACACTCTTTGCTTCTACCTGTTTCTTTCTCTCTATTTACCTCTCTATTTTTCCATCCTTCTCGTTATTAATAAGTTATTGTTACATTTATTAAAGGAGTGTAAGACAAGGATGCGTCGTCTTACCGGACTTATTCAGCCATTACAGTTAGAAGCCCCAACAGGATTCATTATTGGCGGCCACAAACAATATGATATATAGATGACACAGTGTTGATATCCGACACGGAAATTAGCTACAGGAATTTCCCGAGAAGTTAGTGAAGGAAAGCGGGAAGAAAGGACTAACCATCAATTGTAAGAAGAAAGAATGTATAGTTTTCGGCAAAATTAACAACTGCAGACACCAAAATCCAGCAACTACAAGAATTTAAATATCTAGGAAGTGTTTTTAACAGGAAAATGTGAGTCCGAAATCCGAAGGCACGCTAAGACAGAGAAAGATGCCATCCAAAACTCAAAGAAAGCATAAAAAAAGGAAAATGTCGTTAAAAACAGAAAAGAAAACTTCGATGTTATGTAATATCGTTCCAATATTCCTATGTTCACTACCTATATGGCAGTGAATGCTGGACAATCTCCTCACAGATGAAGAAGAGACTTGAGGCTACAGAAACAAAGAAAAGGGTGCTGAACGGTAATATAATATCAGTCCTCCTATATGGCAGTGAATGCTGGACAATCTCCTCACAGATGAAGAAGAGACTTGAGGCAACAGAAACAAAGAAAAGGGTGCTGAACGGCTATATAATATCAGTCCTCCTATATGGCAGTGAATGCTGGACAATCTCCTCACAGATGAAGAAGAGACTTGAGACAACAGAAACAAAGAAAAGGGTGCTGAACGGTTATATAATATCAGTCCTCCTATATGGCAGTGAATGCTGGACAATCTCCTCACAGATGAAGAAGAGACTTGAGGCAAGAGAAACAAAGAAAAGGGTGTTGAAGGGTTATATAATATCAGTCCTCCTATATGGCAGTGAATGCTGGACAATCTCCTCATAGATGAAGAGACTTGAGGCCAAAGAAACAAAGAAAAGGGTGCTAAACGGTTATATAATATCAGTCCTCCTATATGGCAGTGAATGCTGGACAATCTCCTCACAGATGAAGAAGAGACTTGAGGCCACAGAAACAAAGAAAAGTGTGCTGAACGGTTATATAATATCACCCCTCCTATATGGCAGTGAATGATGGACAATCTCCTTACATTTGAAGAAGAGACTTGAGGCAACAGAAATGTGGTTCTACAGAAGTATTCTGTGAATACCTTGGACTGAACGTGTGAGCAGTGACGAAAATTTAGAGAAAATGGAAACAAAAAGAACACTTAAAATCAGAAAGAGACAATTGGAACTTTTAAAGACAGATAGGGAAGAAAGAAGACTTGGAAAATTTAACACTGGCAGGAAATGCCGACGACAAGAAGGAAAAGAGAAAGCTGGTTTCATTGTTGTCAGAGCAGGGATTAAGAGAGAACGCGAAAAAGACAAACGCTAAGAGTTACAAAAGAGAGGAGGTTGTGGAGGGCCATGATCGCCCACGTTCTGAAGTGACATTGCACATAGAAGATGAAGTTTAATAACTGAAAAGAGTTTTTATATTTCAAAATGTTGAACTTCTGCTGCTACTCAATCACTTAAATGTTATCACGTGTTACACGCTTGGGCAAGCATGTCTTGTTCGATTCATGACTCACTAGGTAACAGATATTCCCGCTGTAGTTTGCCTTTTCTTTTGTCTTGCAATAGACTGGCTATAAAACCCAATCTATCCTGTTATTAAACCCATAGATGGGGAGAGAAGGGACGGATAGATACCTTACCCAAGTGTATTTGCGCTTAACTGAAAGTAACGAAACCAATTGGAATTAGAACTCGGATCTCTGATTTCTCAATCGGAGCCGATGTCCATTGCATCACAACGCACATCCACAACTACTACTACTACTAAGTCAGTCAGTTAAGTCACATACGTGATACACGCTTGGGCGATCATGACTGACTAGGCAGAATATACTCCTGTAGTAGTTTGCCATTTCTTTGCGGTAGACTGGTTGCCAACCAAGGCTACAAGACCAAGTTTTTTTTCCCTTCTTTCCCTTGTTTCTTCTCCCTCTCCCCCAAATATTAAACCCATGGAGGAGGATGAAGTGATGGATTCCTACCTTACCCAAGGGCATTTGCGCGTAAGTGAAACTAACGAAATCGACTGGAATTCGAACTCGGATCTTCTCGCAGCCAATATCCATTGCACCAGAACGCACATCCACAAGTACTACTACTACTACTACTAGTAGTAGTACTACTACTACTTCTTCTACTACTAAGTCAGTACAATTAAGTGGCATATGTGATACACGCTAGGGTGATCATGACTGACTAGGTAGAAGATACTCCCGCAGTAGTTTACCATTTCTTTGCGGTAGACTGGTTGCCAACCAAGGCTGTAAGACACAGTCTTTTCCATTTTTATTCACCAACTGCTAAAAGTATTTGCGCGTAAGTGAAAATAACGGACCCAACTGGAATTTGAACTAGGATCTCTGATTTCTCATTCGGAACGGATACCCATTATGGCACAACGTATATCCACATCTAATACTGCTACTACTACTACTACTACTACTACTACTACTACTATTAACACTACTAACATTACCATTAATACTATTACTAATAATAATACTATTAATACAACCATGAACTCAGCATTACCGTAAAAAGAGAAATGAACAGAATATGTAATAATGAAAAAAAAAAAATCTCATGCCGACATATTTTTTTTGTGTGGGTTGTTAGAGTAAAATGCGTTTAGTTTAGCGAATCAAAAGATTTTGTTCTTCAATTTATGAAGTATCAAGCTAACCTAATATTAAACTAGTTCTGACTACTTTCATTTGGAAACATTAGCTTTATTCAGTCAAAATGGCGGTGGCGGAGGTGGTGGTGGTGGGGAGACTTCCAATCGGAGATTGTTTTCATTACTCTCATCAAATCTGCATCTACCAGTTGTAATGTTGAGTGCGCGCGGGTAATTGAAGCAAACATGCACACAACGGATGCAGTTGCAAAGAGGTTTTTATTAAATGAAACGACATATTATGTCATTGAGAAAGAAATAAAGAGGAAATGAATGCAACTAGAAAATGAAAATAGAAAGAATGGTATACTGATGGCTTATTCTTGAGAAAAACAATAAATAAATAAGAAAGAAAGAAAGAAAGAAAGAAAGAAAGAAAGAAAGAAAAAAGAAAAAAGCATGCCGCTGACATATATGAGAAAAAAAAATAAGAGGGAAAGAAAGAAAGAAAGAAAGAAAGAAAGAAAGAAAGAAAGAAAGAAAGAAAAAAGAAAAAAAGAAAGAGAAGCGTGCATCTGACATATATGAGAAAAAGGGAATAAATAAATAAGAGGGAAAAAAGAAAGAAAGAAAGAAAGAAAGAAAAAGGAATCATGGGAAGAAAGAAAGAAAGAAAGAAAGAAAGAATGAAAGAGAAAGAAAGAAAGAATGAAAGAGAAAGAAAGAAAAGCATGCATCGGACATATATGAGAAAAAGGGAATAAATAAATAAGAGGGAAAAAAGAAAGAAAGAAAGAAAGAAAGAAAGAAAAAGGAATCATGGGAAGAAAGAAAGAAAGAAAGAAAGAAAGAATGAAAGAGAAAGAAAGAAAGAAAGAATGAAAGAGAAAGAAAGAAAAGCATGCATCGGACATATATGAGAAAAAGGGAATAAATAAATAAGAGGGAAGAAAGAAAGAAAGAAAGAAAGAAAGAAAGAAAGAAAGAAAGAAAAAGGAATCATGGGAAGAAAGAAAGAAAGAAAGAATGAAAGAGAAAGAAAGAAAGAAAGAAAGAAAGAGAGAAAGAAAGAAAGAAAAAAGAAAAAAGAAAGAAAGAAAGAAAGAAAAAAGAAAGAGAAGCGTGTATCTGACATATATGTGAAAAAGAGAATAAATAAACAACAGGGAAAAAGAAAGAAAGAAAGAAAGAAAGAAAGAAAGAAAGAAAAGGAATCATGGGAAGAAAGAAAGAAAGAAAGAATGAAAGAGAAAGAAAGAAAGAATGAAAGAGAAAGAAAGAAAAGCATGCACCTGACATATATGAGAAAAAGGGAATAAATAAATAAGAGGGAAAAAAGAAAGAGAGAAAGAAAGAAAGAAAGAAATAAAAAAAGAAAAAGGAATCATGGGAAGAAAGAAAGAAAGAAAAAATGAGAAAGAAAGAAAGAAAGAAAGAAAGAAAGAAAGAAAGAAAGAAAGAAAGAAAAGCATGCATCTGACATATATGAGAAAAAGGGAATAAATAAATAAGAGGGAAAAAAGAAAGAAAGGCATGCAGCAGACATACATGAAAAAAGAATAAATATCAGAGTAAGAAAGAAAGGCATATATGAGAAATAAATAAATAACAGGAAAAGAAAGAAAGAAAGAAATAAAGAAAGAAAGAAAAAGGAAAGCAGCTGAAATGAGAAAAAGAGAATAAATAAATTACAGGGAAAAAGAAGGAAGAAAGGAAAGCAAGAAAGAAAGAAGGAAGGAAATAAATAAGTAAATAAAAAGTAAATAAATAAATAAATAAATAAAGACATGTATGGAAAAGCAGCAGACATGTATGGAAAAAAATGACTAAATATCGGAGTAAGAAATAAAGGCATAGATGAGAAAAAGAGAACAAATAATTATCAGGAAAAGAAAGAAAGAAAGAACAGGAAAAAGAAAGATAGAAAGGCATGCATCTGACATATATGAGAAAAAAGATTATAAATAGCATGGAAAGAAAGAAAGAAAGAAAGAAAGAAAGAAAGAATGAAAAAGAATGAAAGGAAGTTAGAAAGAAAGAAAGAAAGAAAGAAAGAAAGAAAGAAAGAAAGAAAGGAAGAAAGGAAAGCATCTGATATATACGAAAAAAGATAATAAATAGCATGGAAAGAAAGAAAGAAAGAAAGAATGAAAAAGAATGAAAGGAAGTTAGAAAGAAAGAAAGAAAGAAAGAAAAAAAGAAATAAAGAAAGAAAGAAAGAAAGAAAGAAAGAATGAAAGAAATAAAGAAAGGAAAGCATCTGATATATACGAAAATAGATAATAAATAACATGGAAAGAAAGAAAGGATGAAAGGAAGTTAGAAAGAAAGAAAGAAAGAAAGAAAAGCAGCTGATATACATGAAAAAAAAAAAGAAAGAAAGAAAGTCATATATGAGAAAAGACATACCAGGTAAAGAATGACAGAAAGAAAGAAGGAAAGGAAAAGAAAGAATGAAAGAAAAATAAAACGTTAAAAACAGTGAGGATGAAACAAATAAAGACATCTTTGGTATTAAAAAAAAAATGAAGGAAAGAAAAAATGAAGGGAAGGAAAAAAGTAAGGAAAAAAAATACAAAGATACACTGTTAAAATAATCAGGAAGAAAGAGAAAGAAAGACTTTGCATGAGAAAGAAAGAAAGAAAGAAAGAAAGAAAGAAAGAAAGAAAGAAGTAAGGAAAGAAAGTGTAAAAACAAATGTGTTCGGCTTCGAACCAAGAAATAGAGAAAGAAGAAAAGCAAGGAATCAACCGAAACGAAAGAAAAGAAAAGGAAAGAAAGAAATAGCAGATATAAGAAGAAAATATGAAAGCAGAGAAAAAGAAAAAAGAAAGTGGATGTGGGAAAGAAAGCAGAGAAAAAAGTATTAAAAGACGTATAATATGAAAGAAAGAAAGAGAAAGCAAAAAAAAAATAATGAAGCAGTATAAAACCAGATAGATAGATAGAAATGAACAAGCTGCGATATCTAGATAGATAAATAGATATGAACAAGCTGCGATAGATAGATAGATAGATAGATAGATACATTATGTACAGACTGACATAGATAGATAGATAGATAGATAGATAAATAGATATGAACAAGCTGCGATAGATAGATAGATAGATAGATAGATAGATAGATGCATTATGTACAGACTGACATAGATAGATAGATAGATAGATAGATAGATAGATAGATGAATAGATATGAACAAGCTGCGATAGATAGATAGATAGATAGATAGATAGATAGATAGATTATGTACAGACTGACATAGATAGATAGATAGATAAATAGATATGAACAAGCTGCGATAGATAGATAGATAGATAGATAGATAGATAGATAGATACATTATGTACAGACTGACATAGATAGATAGATAGATAGATACATTATGTACAGACTGACATAGATAGATAGATAGATAGATAGATAGATAGATAGATAGATAGATATGAACAGACTGGGATGGATAAATCGTAGATTGATAGACAGACAGACAGATAAAAAATGAACAGACTGAGATAGATAGATAGATAGATAGATAGATAGATAGATAGATAGATAGATAGATAAGCTAAGAACTAAAATGCATAAATAAAAAATACGTATATTCTTTACCCGGAATAAAAAAAATAACATAGTTAAAACGTGCTTTTGTATTGTCTACTTATATACAACCATGCACTATATAAGGGCGTATCAATTTTCATCAAGTTCACACACAGCATATTTCTAACAGCGAACAGAACGCATGCCAACCAATCCACCATTACTTGCACAAAAAACGCTTTGCACTAATCTCCGCACTTATGTTCCTATTTGCGGATTCCGGACGGGATAAAATCGAATATAAGTCGATATGGATATGACTTCTCACCAGATCTATTTGACTTCTACAGCGAAGTAATCCTAAGAAAACGAGAAGTGCTATCAGGATTTTATTAGATTGTTACATACATTCGTTTTTTAAATAATCAATTTTAATACATACTATATATTAACAGTTTTGATGAATCATTCAACAAATTATTCCCCTTTCATTGTTTACAACCTCCTGCCAACGGTCCACTAACTGTTCAATGCCTCGACTATAAGAATCATCATGTCACGTTTTAAGCTTCACATCGTTGTTGAATGAAACACCCCTCGAATTGTTACAAAAGAAACTGAAAAAGCTGATGGTCTGAAGATGAGAAATTAGGTTTAGTTTGGTTTGTTTTACGGCATATCAACCACAATGGGTTATTTAATGCCGACGAAATTTTTATTGCTGATTTCTAGGAATATTTTTTTCTTCAAAAATCTATTGCTGGTAATATTTTTCTCAAAAAATGTATATCTGGTAATATATATTTTTTTTAAATATATAGCTGGTAATATTTTTTTTCAAAAATGTACAGCTGCTTGTATTGCTGGTATTTTTAAAGTATTGCTAGTAATAATTTTTTCCTTCAAAAATTTATTACTGGTAATAATTTTTCCTTCAAAAATTTATTGTTGGTAATAATTTTTTTTTAAAAATTATTTCTGGTTTTAAAACTTATTTTCACGCTTTCATAGTATTTTGAACCCAGTTTGGGGTTTAACTATTTGCCGATAGTTGGGACCCCAACAGGCGCTACTACCTCGGGGTCAGGGTAGACCGAGGAGAAACAAACTCGATATTTAGTCACCCCCCACGAGGGCATCATGTGGCACAAGGCCGGTTTAACGTGGGATCTCCGAGCCCGTGGGCTCGGCCAAAAATATGCCCATTGAACCCGTATAAACGGGTTCAGGGTTTATTTACCTCTAAAAAGAGAATCCGCCCTTCGGCATATTCTCGTTCGGGTCTCTCCCCGCCCGAAGACAGAGAGTTCAACCGACCAGTCAGTCGACTGACTGACCAACTCACTCAGCGACTGCTACTACTACTCCTAATTATTATAGGTGGGGGAGTCTATTAACTATAGAATAGGTGTGTTCCACTATAACAAATAATAATAGCAATTTCGTTAGCACTGAGAACCATCAGTCTGTATACTGAGACGGACTTCAATGTATACATCAAAATAAAAAGAGGGTTACGACAAGGATGTGTTTTCTCCGCGGATTCATTACGTCATGACGCTTTTGAGAGAAATAATGTTCCTGCCAGGATTTATTTATGATTTCTGTGCATAATCTTAACAACCTAATATAAATGGTCACTGTGCTAATAGCAGACACAGATATGAAACTGAAACATCTGTTAGACAAAGTAGTGAAATATATTAGTTTGTTCTATAAATTTGTTATAATTTATTAATAGTTCTGAGGAATCATTTAACAAAGCATTCCTCTTCATTGACTACGGCCTCCATCCAACAGCCCACTAACTGTTCAATGCCTCGACTATAGAAATCACTAGGTTTTGACTCGAAAAATTCATTAAGCCACGTTTAAACGTCCACATTGTTGTTGAACGAAACACCCCTCAAATAGTTAGAAGGCGACCGAAATAGATGATAGTCTCAATGGGCTAAATCAGGAGAATATGGTGGGTGGGTGTTATAGTGGAACACACCTATTCTATAGTTAATAGACTCTCCCGTCTATAATTAGGAGTAGTAGCAGTCGCTGAGTCGCTCAGTGAGTTGGTCAGTCAGTCGATGTCAGACGACCGTTAGTCGGATATTAAAGTATCAGCCACCACAACTAGATTGCTGCGTCATTACCTCTTATATCAAGTTCCTAACGTTTTGTACGTCGAACCTATTTTAGGACCGACTTAGTACAAATACAAGCCTCCACTGTGAAACTACTCTACAACAGTGTGGTAGAGCTTGCCAAACGAGTTCTTTAATTGCATGTTTGGTCATGTGAGCGACGTGGAGGGGAGCATTCTAATCACACCAGTCAGGTCTTCTCAGTTGAACTGCTTCTTTGAACATGTTTATTTGTTCAATATACAGCTTTGTGCTGACCGTTTGGTTGTTCTGGATCTTATCCATCGAATGAAGATGACGAGCGACAGTAGCAGGAAAGCTATCTAACCCCAGCCAATTCTCTCGGGGTCTAGCACGGTTCTATTTTAATCAGTGCGTACAAGTGGTTCTCATCAAAACGAACAGGTCAGAACACGGAAAGTATGTGAGTTCGAACTTCTTGATTCTGGGAAATATATTTTTTGTTGTAAGAATTTTGGTTGTAAGAATTTTGGTTGTAAGAATGCCTCAATCACTAGACTCAATTCATCAAGTCACGTTTTAAGCTCCACGACGTTGTTGAACGAAACACCCCTCAAATTGTTAGAAAGCGACCGAAAAAGATATTAGTCTGAAGGGGCTAAATCCGGAGAATAGGGTCGGTGTAGCAGAACCTCCCAAGCAAGCTTTTTTCTTTGTATCCCGATTAGCCTGGTATCGAGCGAGTAAGCTGGCAGCAATAGAGGAGTGCTGGAGTTTGTTTGTCAATCAGTGTGGCACCGATGCGCTGTTTTTCTGGACCTTATCCATTGAATGAACATGACGAGCAACAGTGACATGAGAGTTTGCCATCTTCTGAACCAATTCCATTTGGGCCTGGCACGATTCTTTTTTAATTAGTGCGTGCTATTGGTTCTCGTGAAACTGAGTAGGTCTGTCAGAATGCAGAGTCTGTGAGCTCAAACTACTTGAATGAAACAGCTCTCAAATTGTTAGAAAGTGACGGAAAAATGTGGTAATCTGAAGGGGCTAAATCAGGATAATATGGTGGGTGTAGCAGAACTTCCCAGACAAGCTCTTTCGTTGTACCCCAAGTAGCTTGGCGTCGAGCGAGTAAACTGGCAGCAATGGAGGAATGCTGGAGTTTGTTTGTCAATCCATGTGGTACCCATGCGCTGTTTTTCTGAACCTTATCTATTGAATGAAAATGACAAGCAACAGTGACATGAGAGCTTGCAATCTTCTGAACCAATTCCCTTGGAGTCTGGCATGGTTCTTCTTTAATCAGTGCATGCTATTGGTTCTCATGAAATTGAATAGGTCTGTCAGAATGCAAAGAGCCTGTGAGTTCAAACTACTTCTCCTTGAAATGGGAAACCATTTCTGTGCCATTCTGTTGGTAATGAAGTAATCTCTGTACACTGCACAAATGTTTAGAGCAGCTTTTGCAGCTTGATGGCATTGATTTTTTAAAAGCAAAGGAGAATATGTCGAACGTGCTCATTCTTGTCTACTTGGCATTTCATCTCAAAGGGGGAGAGATCTAATCTGAAATAAAATCTCGGTAACATTAGACAACAGTTTCACAGGATGATCAGAGTTACTAAGAAGCAAAAAATGCTACAAATGATTTTTCAAGATCATTCACAGAACACCAGAAAAAGATGAACAAATATATGTGAGTACCTAATACTAGAGTATTGCTGATATAATCACACCTTTTACATACAAAAGGTAATCTCTTTCAATATGAAACACAAAAATATTTTATGATTTTTGTGTATCTGAAAAGTAGGAATTGTTGGAAAGTTAGGTAATCTTGATAGCTGGAGGAGACATTGTATTGATTTGCATGGATTTATGGGTAGTGTAATGGTTAACAAGTTGAAAAGAAGTTGGCGAAACAAGTTTGAATTCTGGACAATTTCCTTATGCTTAATTTTGCACAAATACCCTTGGGAAAGGTGTGAATATATCTCTTTCACATGCCCCCCCCCCTCAAAAAAATAAATAGCAGGGCTAATTGGGAGCTGATGTACCTTGAGGTGACAACCAGTCTAGGAGAAGGAAAACTGAATTGAAAACCATCCAGAAGGGAGATGGGCTCCAACAAGTTATCTTACCCTAGTCACACCACTGCTGCTATGGCCGCAGTACATATGATACCCCTGTGACTCCACTGGCTTACAAGACTTGTAATGTGACATAGGTGGATAGTTTTGAAGCTGGGGGTGACTGATTAAAACATGCATTTTCTGTCATCATATTTTAAGTCTATGTAATCTTTTTGTGTTTCAAATGTTTTCAAATTTTATAGAAATTCTTGACAATTTTGCACTTAAAAATGTGCTAAAAGTTATTTTCATTTAAGTAGTGAAAACTTGTCCAACACAGTTTCACAGGATGACCAGAGTTACTAAGAAGCAAAAAAATGCCACGAAAGATTATTCTTGAAGATCATTCACAGAACATCGGAAAAAAAAACGAACGAATATATGTAAGTACCTACACGAGTTTAGAACGTTCGCATTCAGACCAGGAGACCCGCGTTCGAATTTCACCATGGTCGATATGGCAGGAAGCTGACTTCCTGATTTTATCGAACTAGAGGCATCGATCCCAACGTGCGAACCCTTGGAAAGTGCATGAAAAACAATACCACGGGTTAACCCAAGCCTTGTGAGTGAATTTGGGTAGACGGAACCCCATCCTTCGATAGCTGTGCTAACACAAAATCACAAGTCATCGTGGCCGGGGATTTGAGTGTGCTGGCATTGTTCAAATTTTTGACCACGCTAGATAACACGCTCTCTCCCAGAAACTGTAACTAAGGTCTGCTCAGCATAGTTGCAGTATAAGCCACAGGTGGGTTCTGTGGGGTGTTGAATAAACACAAAAGCGCCTGAGCAAGCGTCTGCAATAGGGATTGCCTAGCCACCCTATTCTACGGGTATCCTCGCATACAAGTAACCA